CTTGAAGCTTTTCATCGGTACAAATTGGGAATAATTTAATTCTCTCTCTCTCTCCACCTCATTCCCTCCTTTTTCCTGGCGTTCTTAAAAGTTGGCAAGCTCCGAACTTGGGTAGAAGGATTGAACAGATCTTGGGTGAAGTGCTTTGGGTTTGGTTTGGTTTTTTTAAACAGTCTTTAGGGAAATCTTCCTTTCAGACCTTTTTGAGGAACTGTTGAATACATCCAGTTGTTGTACTGTACCTACTGCCAACGTAAGTCCAGCTCTCAGATTTCTGATAAAAGCCCCAACTTGTGCTGCTCAGAACAGAGTTTATTTACTTGCAGGATCTGTGTAGGATAAAGCATTGCAAGGATTGCAAAAAAAAGCCAGTCTTTTTCTAAAAAAAAAAAACAAATATAAAAAATTGTTCAGCAATGTAAAAGATCTCTGGAATACAATCATGAAGAGGCATAACAGGTGCTACTAGCTGGAATGTGCCTGGCTGAAACTTAAAGCAAGCTGAATGGAGCCCAGTGATTACTGATTTCAGTTTCAGGTAGTGTCCTAAAGATTTGTTTGCTTTAATAAAGGTGGATGCTGGTAGGTATAGAACATTTCCACTCTGAGCACGCTACTCCTGTACGATGGAGCACTTAATGATCACAGATTTTAATGTTTTTATTACATCATGAAATGTAATTCTACTTTCTTTGTCCTGTCTTTATTCTGAATGAGCAGCATGCTCTACAATGAAGAGTGTGTTATGTTTTTTTTATTTTGGGTGATATATTAATATATATTGATTTGTTTTTTCTCATTTGAAAGCAATTTTTAAACAGAGACATTTGCATTTGTTTCAAAAGCCCAAATAAGTCGAATGGCTTGGATTTCTTTTCATGTTGAAATATTAAATCTTGAGTTATGACCTTAAAAGTCTTTGTGTTTCAGCAGATTAAATTTTTGTCTGTGGTAACAGGGTACATTTGCAGTTCCTTTTTTTTTTGTTTTTTTTTTTTTGTTTTTATTTTTAACCACTCCCATGTCTCATTCTTAGCCCCAGCTGGTTCCCAAGCAGGTTTCTGTAGCTATTCCCTAATTAATTTAATCTGCTAACGAGCTCCTGCTCCCTGGGTTTGACACTTGGACCTGCAGCTCCTGTGGGTTCTGACTGGGTTTGCACATGTTTACTTTCCTTTGAAGTGTTACTTGAATTTGTGTCTCTCGAAGGCCCTGCCCGTCCTCGAGAGGGACTGAGCTCTAAATCTCTAAATCCAGAGGAATTACTGACCTTGGAGATGATGGAAGGTGCAGAGTTATTGTACACAGGGGAGCTGGGGGGTGGCAGAAAGTGAAGCTGGCTAGAGCAGAGTGAATGAAGATCTTCCATGGTTTTTCCCCTTCCAGGACTCCCTGACTAGGCTGCTGCAACTTTGTAAATTATGTTAGATAGTTTGCTGCTTGTAAATAATTAAAGGCTTTATGGTTTCTAAAGTGCTGAGTATTAAACACCGTCATGAGTGGAACTTTTGTTACCATGCTTTTCATGCTTGTGCTTTATTTCTCACTGTTTGATATTATAAACCATATTTATTTTATGAAACACTGAAATTTAATAAAAATCATTAACTGATTTCCTTTTTATTTCATGTGTACTTTTGTTGGTGTGACACTTCATCCCCTCCCAGAACTAATTCACTTTAAAGATGTGCTGTTCTCTTTGGTAAAGCTTCACCTGCAGGGAGCTGCAGTAACTTTGTGACAAGAGCTTGCAAAACACTCAGAAAAATGGGAAATAGTTTAAGATTTATTTCATCAGATTCTTAAATCTGTCTGCTGGGGCTCCTTTGACTCTCAGTGGCAGAATTTTGGTCATTTTCTAGTCAGTGTTGAGGTTTGGGTTAAATTTATGGAATTCTGAATACAGAGGATTTAGTGACCTCATGTTTAACCCTTCCCTGCCAAGCACAGAAAATCCTGATGTCCTAATAACAACATAACAAAATCCTAAAATCCTAATAAGCTGATCTGGACCCTGATAACTTCTAAAAATCCCTGCTTAGAAAATGGGGTTTTGTCCTTGCAGAGTTCATGTAAATCCCTGAAACCAGGGAAATGTTGGGGAATCCTGTTCCCTCAGCCCAGGGCTGGGATCCCTGCAGGGAAATGGAATTAAATTGGCATCCTGCAGCTTAAGCTGCTTGTTTGGGTTGGTTTTCCCCAGGATCAGAGCCAGGGTTGTTCCCTCTCAGCTCTGTCCAAACAAGCAGAACTGGATAAAAACTCAGGTTGTGTTTCTGGGCAGGAGGGGGAGTGGGAGATCTTCTCTGTTTCTGACTGACAAACCCAGGACTGTGCATCTTTAAAGTGCTTTAAAGCAATTCCTGCCCCTCCAGCTCTGTCCATCAGTCTGTGTGTTCCGTGTGCTCTTTGTACTTGGTCTGCTTTTGTCCCATTTTCATCCTGCTCTCAGCTGGGGGAAGGGTTCAAGCCAAAATAATCCAAAATAATTTAGAAAACGCTGATTTACTTTGGAAGCCTTCAACTACGCTGGGAGGGCTGAGGGTGCCAAGGAAATAAAGGTGATTTTTGTCCCCACTGCACTGGGGAGTTGAGTAGAAATCTCTGGAGTTTGGGGCTGTGGTTTGAAGTAAGAATGACAGAAATGAGTTCTCAGGACTTGAATTTTCCATTTCTTTTGCTTTTTTCCCCCACAAATCCCAGAACTGACGACCAGAGCAGTGTCAGACCACCCCAAACCCCCTCACTTTCTATTTTATTTGATTTATTGTTTAAATAGAGCAACAATGAGGTGTCTCCTGTTCACTCTGAGCTGGGAATTTATGCTGGTCCCACCCCTGGAATGGAGCAGTTCATGTGGATGTGCCCTAAGCTGCTGTGCTTATCCAATTAAGTGGCTTGCAGTTAATTAGGGGGTTAAATGTAATTAATTTTCAGCAGCTGAAGGACAGGCAGGTGGCTGAGGGGGTGGGTTTGGGGCTCAGGACATGCTGAGCATCCTTGGGATGAAGCTGTGCTGGGATTCTCCAGGGACATCGCTCCAAAAAGAAGATTTTGGAGAAATTTGGTCCCATTTTAGTGCTGTTCATCTGCAGAACTGAAGAAATCTGGGGAGTATTTTGGGGTTGTATGCCTCAGATAAGTGAAACTTTATATAATAAACTTCTTCAGACCAGTTGAAAATTGGAATATTCATATAGTCCACTATAATTAAGTGTATTTTCTACAATGCACTGAAAATTTTACAATTAATTCCAGGTTACCACTCAGACACTGGACTTCTCTTACCATGTAGTAAGTGAAAAATAATTACAGGTTTTTAAAATGTTGTTATTCTAAAAAAAAAAAAAAATATTTCCCTGAGCTTTCTGTTGCAGGTTTGTTAAGGCTTGGTTTGGTTTTAGAGGGTTTGAAGATTTCGACCTCCCTGTGGGTCTATGAAAATGTGCATTTTTACTCTTCTGCTGCAAGTGGTAAGTTCAGCTCTTCTCAAAAAAAAAATAACCCAAATTTTAAGGAAAATGCCATTCCAGAACTGGAATTTTCTGCCCCTTCCTTCTCCAGCCTGTGCTGAGCACAGGTGCATTCCAGTCGTAAAAATTGCAGGGTGGATTTAATTTGCTTGTCTGTGCTAAATATAAATTCACTTTTATCCTGATTTCTGAAATCCTGTCAGAATTTTCTGATCCATCCCTCTGAACTTGTTAGGAAATAACACATTTATTGTAGTGAAGGAAGAAAAAACCTCAGGGGAAGTGTGTGCAGCAGGGATCATGAAATATTCAATATCCAGCATTTGTTAAAATTCAAATGAGACACTTGAAAGAATGCTTTGAAGCCCATAAACCTTCCCAAATTATTGTGGCATTACCTGGAAATCTTAGCAAAGGAAATCCTCTTTCTTTTCACTCTCTTTTCCAGGGGAATAACCATAAAAACTGAATTTACAGCAAAAATAAAAAATCCTTCCTGGGTTTTGTTTCCTGGCCACACCAACCCCATTATTTTTAAGTTATATTTTAGTGCTCTGGATTTTTTTTTCTCTGCATCAATGACTTTGAAATGTTAGAAGCTGATTTTCCTCAACTGAGGCAAATATTTGAATGAATTTTGGTTCATTTTGCAGAGTTATTTCCTCTTCTTTTCTGTGCCTGCTGCTGTGGAAGGTGGAACAAGAGGGAAAAGTGAAGAATCCATGGCTGGGAAGTGCTGAAATCCCCTGGGCAGAGCATTAAATCCTGATCTGCAGCCTTGGATGGGTTTTATCCAGTGACAGCTGCTCTTGGTGGTGTTAAAATCACCTTATTTTATTTTGATTTATTTTGGGTGTAATCATTGCAATTTGGATGTTCTGGAAAATCAAGAGGATTTTGTTCTCCATGTACAGATTTGTGTGGTTTAAAGCCAATAATTAAAAAGTAATTCGGGTTTCTGCTGTCCTTTTGCTTCCAGTTCCTCATGTGTGTGTTCAGCCCAGAATTATCTCCTCTATTTAAGTTTGTGCCCTTCTGTGGGATTTTAAATAAATAGATTTTTACAGTATTTGCCTAAAATGCTGAATAAAACCAATCTCTGCTTACCTGCATTTCATGTCCAAGCTAAAATCTTTGTGTGTGAGTGTGGCATGCCCTAGAAATGTTGGGATCTTCCCTGAAAACCTTGGAAACTTTGGAGCCAGGGACAAATTTTGAAGTGCTGGGAGGTAGAAGAGCAGGTACTGAATCTTGGCTGAATATCAGTAAAAAAAAAAAAAATCCTTTAAATACCTGCAAAATTTAAGTCATTTATTAAATCATAACAATAAGATTAAATAAATGAATTAAAGAGTCTTTAAAAGCTTCTCTACCACACCAGGGTAGAGAGTTTGAAAGAGTTTGAAAATAAAGTTAAAAATTAAAGTTGGGAAGAGCAGCCTTGAGCCTCAGCTTAAACCACATTTTCTCCCAGATTTTAAACCAGACTCCCAGAAAAAAAAAAACCAGAAAAATCAGACAGCAGTGTCTCCTGTTGCTGCATGCAGCTCTTTTATTGTCATTTATCTTTACAGAAATGTGAAGCATCTTCACAGGAATTGTACAAAACCCTCTCCCCTGGCTGGCTGATCCAGCAGAGCAGCGGAACCACGGCCGTCGCTGCTGCTGATAAAAATCCATGCAGGAGCTGAGCTTGGAATAAAACTGTCCTGTTCTATAGAGGTTAAATAAAAAGGGGGATAACAGGAAATAAATATGCTGATAACATTGGTTGGAGTAGTTGAGTTTAATGCGGGATATGTGGGTTTAGTCCATACCAAACCGTCAGTGGGCACGGAACATGCGCCGGAGAGCCCCAGAACATCCCAGCTGTCCTCGTTCCTGCATCCCCCAGGGCCTGCCAGGTCCCTGCATTGGAACACAACTATTTCCTGCAGAAAATGGGATTTTTCCATGGCTGGAAGCAGCAGCCATTCTCCTGCTCCCATGGAAGCTCCTTGTGGGCCCTTTCAGCGGCAGGAGCGACTCTTTGTCGCTGCATCAACATTTCCAGGACCGTTAGAAAAATAAACTGCTTTTGTTTTTTTACATTAGTATTGTAACTGAGGCTAAGGAATTAGAAAAACGAACCCTTGGTTCTCAGACTTGCATTGGCCACAGGTGAGTATTTACAGGGTTTTTTCCCCATCCCACGGGAAGGTCGGCTGGAAATTTACACCAGAGGAGGAACCCGAGGCTTTGTACACGGAGCTTCTGCTTCAAAGGCAGGGATTTGTACACGGAACAAACAGAAGCGTTGTCAAAATACAGGAATATCCAGGGCACTCTGATCATATCACAGAGCACACAGAGGCCTCAGTCCTTTTGGCACAGGAGTTTCCTCCTGGGATTGTTTTCTGCCCGGGTTGAGGGCAGGAAGGAGCTGTGTGTGCCCGCTGAGCAAGGAGGGACCCAGCACCACGGCCGGTGGAGCCTCTGGAGCACAGAGCCTGGATGTGGCCACAAGGCTGACCTGGCTGCTCAGGGCTGGGGCTGGAATACTTAAATTTAAATTTTAAATTTAAATAAATTAAGGGTTTTTAAAAGAAATTTAATTTTCTTGCCATGGGAGGGTTGAGCTGAGGAGCTGCGCTGTCTTCCCTGTGCTCTCACACACAGCTCACAGCCAAACAAACAAAAAATCATAAAAATGTTCTCAGTAAATATATTCAAATAATCACACCTTTTGTTTAATTTGGGCTGGGCTTTTTTTTGTTTGCTGGTTTGGTTTTTTCTAACCTGTAATACTGCTTTGTTCCACTCTCCCTTGAAAGCAAAGTGGGGTTTGGAAAATGATCCATATTAAATTCAGAAAATTAAATACATTCACACTCCATGATCTGAGCATCCTGAGGCTTTAAGTTACACAGAGCCCACGTGTCCTTTTGTACTTCAACCACACCCACTTTTTAGCCTATAATTTCTTTTTGCCACTTTTAAATGACAGATTTGGCATGTGAAGCTACAAACAGAAATAAATAAAACATTGTGCCTGCCTAAACCAAACAGATCCAAAACGAATCATTAAAAATCCATCAAAACAACCCAAAAAAGCTTTAAAGGCAGTTCTGTTTGTGCCCACAGCTCAGCAGGGTGGGAGGAATGCACTCTTTGCTTTTACCTGTGGTACCTCACCAAGCCTGGCATGTGCCACCACTCAGGGGCTCCTGCCTGGCACTTCAGGAAAAAACAACAATTAAAAAAAAATAAAATCTGGACCCCAAACCTCATCCAGGCACAGCAGGTCCCTCTCAGCCTTCTCGAGGTGATACCAGCTTTGGCACTGGTCCTGCCCTGGGCATCTCTGCCCTCCCTCAGGGCCATGGGCAGGATGGGCAGCACATCCCCACAGGTTGGGGCATCTCTCCAGCTGTTTAAAACTCACTTAAATCAGGTTTTGGCTTGTTTTCTTTGTAAACATTGATTGGGGGTGCATTGGGGAGCAAACAGTGAATGGTAATGGCAATAAACCATTCAGTGAGTGCAGGAAGCTGATGGGATTTCATGGCCATGTTGTGCTTTACAAGCTCCTTGCTAAAAAAAAAGAAAAAAAATCACATTGGAATTGTAAGATATGAACATGAAAGTATAGAAAGTCAACAACTCAGTTATTCACTTGGCAGTCAAATAAACCCTTTCCACATCATTGCAGAATGTGCAAAAGCAGGATGGAAACACATCTGGTGTTTGTGGCGGTGCCAGGTCCCGGCAGGTCGGGGGGGACGTTCATGCACCTCTGCTGCAGGGGAAGCCACGGGGACAGGGGGGACAGAGCCGAGCAGGGGGGCTGGAGCTGCCAGGGGGGCTGTGGGGACAGGCAGAACCCGCTGCCATCACGGTGCCACCAGCTGTGACCACGGGGAGGGGAGGGACAGCAGGACACGGCCAGGACACACAGGGGGTGTGGCTGGAAAGGGTGAATGGAGCCACCAAACCTCCACAGCCCAGCATCCCCAATCCCCTGGGCAGCTCAGCCCCAGCAGGACACAAACCCAGGGGCTCCAGGGCGCTGCCACAGAGCTGGCCCTGCTTTTGGTGTCCTGGTTTGTGAGGTGCCCCAAGGCTCTGTCACAGAGCTGGCCCTGCTTGGTGTGCCCAGGGTTTGTGAGGTGCCCCAAGGCTCTGCCACAGAGCTGGCCCTGCTTGGTGTGCCCAGGGTTTGTGAGGTGCCCCAAGGCTCTGCCACAGAGCCGGCCCCGCTCTCAATGCCCTGGCATGTCCTGGTTTGTGAGGTGTCCCAAGGCGTGGGGGCCCTGCCGTGCCCTGTCCCCTCCATCCCGGCTGTGCCACGGCCACCAGAGTCCTCACCCAGTGCCCAGAACAGAAACCCCGCCAAGGATGAAGAACGTGAGTGACAGAGTTTGGGCACCCCGGGGGACACCTGGTGAAGGAGGAGGAGGAGGAGGAGCAGGGTTTCGGTGCAGTTTTCCTCTGTCTTTACCAACCTGCACCCTCCAGGCTGACACCAACGCCAGCCCTGCTCCCATTGGCATCTGGGCTCAGCCCTGTCCCACCAGCACCAGCGAACGCTGTCTCACTAGTTGCGGTATCGGTAGAAAAGTTAAAATCCCCGGGGGCACACACGGCCACCGGCTGCGTCCGGCCGTGCCGGGGCTCCGGGCATCGTCCCGTGGGCACGGCATCCATGCCAGGCTGGGCATCCTCCCGCGGGCACGGCCGGGCTGTCCTTGCCCGCCCTGGCAGCGCTCACAGCTGGGTCTCATCGCGCGTCTCGGGGTTGCCCGAGCCCAGCTTGTTGCTGCAGCTGCTCTTGCGGCTGTGGCCGTCGTTGGCCACGTGAGCCAGAGGGTCGGAGCGGATCAGGTACCTGCAGGACACAGCCCGGTCACCACAGCTCCCCTGGAATTCGGGCCTGCATGCACAGGGATGGCCCCATGGAGATGTGATGCTTGCAGAGCATGGTGGTTGTTTCAATGAAAGGTGTTAAATGATAAGAGGTGTCCATGTAAATGCCATAAAATAATAGAATAAATAATCAGGAGTTACTCCTCAGAGCATGGTAATTATTCCTTAGGAATAGCTCCTGAATATATTCAGGAGTTATTCCTCATGTTTGCAGAGCATGGTAGTTTGAATAAAAGGTGTTAAATGATAAGAGGTGTTCATGTAAATGTCATGAAATAATAGAATAAATAATCAGGAGTTATTCCTCAGTGGCAAAAACCAAAGGAGAATCCCACAGTGCCCATGGGAGCTAAGATGGGGCTGAGGTGGTTTGGGCTCAGGAGCACAGGGAGCTGGAATGGGCTGGGAAAGAGGCAAAACCCTCTTTTATGGGTATTTATGAGAAATCCTAGGGAATAACGGGATGGGGGCAGCTCATGGCGCTGGGGGCAGTGTGGGGACAGGGTGACAGGGTGACAGGGTGAGGTGACACTTACACGATGTCATTGACACTTACACGATGTCGTTGAGCTCCAGCCGCGTGTCCGGGGGGGGATTGATCAGGACGTAGGACAAGGTGTTCTGGTGGTCGTTCATCTCATCTGCAAGAGCAGGGGCAGGGCTGGTGAGGCAGGGACACCCCCAGAGACACCCCAACAGGCAAGGTGACAGATCCCATCCTGGCAAATGGGTCCCTTCACCAGGAGAAGCCGTGGGCAATGTCACTGCCATGGGGAGGGCACCAAGAATGTCACTGCCACCTCCCCTCATCACCTCCCCAGGCTCTCCCCACCACAGCACGGCCCAGGGGACTGGGTAACTCTTCAAAGTCCCCACTCCCCCCAGAAATAAAGTGAGAGTCTTACCTTGGTGCAGTGCAAAAGAGGGAACAGGTTAGTCCTGCTGTGTCAGGTACAGCACGAGTCCAACCATGGCTCAGGGCAGCTGAACCCCCCCAGGGATGCCCCAGAGCTCTGCCCACCTCTCTCCCCCTCTCAGTTTCTCAGTTTAGCTCCATCCAGGCCCAGGATCAGTGCAGGGATTGCTCCTTTCCCCTGCCCAGGGGGAATCACCTCCATGGAGCTCCAGAGCCATCGACGCCGTTTTGGGGATGGCTCTGAACCAAGTGCCCTCCCAGGGGGGCTCAGGGCCACCAAGAGCAGCACCCACGGGGGCAGACAGGGGGTGTCAGTGATGGGGGACCCCTGTGCTCCCCGAAATAGCCAAGAACAAGATCATGGTGAAATGGATGGGGGTGCGAGGCTGCGGGTGCCAGGGGGGGTGAAGCTGCCACAGGTGACACCATCTCCAGACAGGGTGATGGGGTGTGGATGGACAGGGTGGGGAGGGGACGGACAGACGGACGCGGGGGCAGCATGAGGAGCACGGGGGGACACCAGCTCGCTGCAAGGCTTCTCACTGGGACTCCTCTCCAGGCTTTGGGAAAGGCCCCTCTGAGGTGCAGATGGAGCAGATGGAGCAGGTGGAGCAAATGGAGCTGCTCTGGGGGCACCCGGCCCTGGGATGGGCATTAACTCCAGGCTGGGGCTGCTCCTGTGGCCTGTCCTGCTGCTCCCACCTCCCCATCCCTGCCTGGCATGGGGGACCCCCCAGCCAGGGTCTCCTGTCCCAGCAATGCCAACGGGTGCCAGATCACCCTGGCACTGCTTTTCTCCAGCCCTCAGATGCAGCTCCAGCCACCACGGGCACCCAGCACAGGAATACAAACAGCTTCTTCCCGAGGTGTCCTTGCCAGATGAGCCCTGGGGCATCCCCAGGGCTGTGCCACGTCCAGCAGTGCCTGCAGGGGGACCCCAGACCTTTGTGTGGCTGCTCTCACACATCCCTGTCCCCTCTGAGGCCACAGAAGGTGCTGCAGCCACGGGGACCTGGGACCACCCTTGGGGCAATGTTGCCTGGGACCCCCAGCCTGTGCCAGGTGTCCTGTCCTGTCCTGGGGCCACCAGGTTTGGGTTTTGGCCATCCCAGTGCTCAGCCTTACAGCGAGACAGGGGTGGGGTGGCAATGCCAGGGCAGGGGTGGCACACAGACCCTGGGAGCCACGGGACACACGGGGGTGACATGACAGGGACGTGGGGCCGGGCTCTGGCTCTGGCAGCTCTCCCTGCCCCATGGAAGTTCCCTGAGCCCATGCAGCCAAGCCAGGCCCTGCTGGGCACACGAGTATATTGCTGCCCCTCCACTGCCCCAGGCAATATACTCTGCCTGGCTCATGGAGGACACACTTTGTGAGGAAATGCCAACGTTTCACCTTAAGCCTGGGCTAGTGAAGCCAAAAATGAAGCTGGGATGGGCTGTTGCTGATCTTGGGGCTGCTGCAGTAAAAAGGAGCCTTTCCAGGGCGTGTTTCACCCTGGTGTAAAGGTGAAAAATAAAAGATGGGAAAACCTGATAGGTCCCACAGAGCCCCACGAGGTGCCCGGGGTGGCTGCAGCACCAGTGGCCTCTGTGGCTGCTGTTGCTCCCTCATGCTGAGCCCAGCACCCCTGGTCACAAAATGGGGTCTTCTGATGCTGGAGAGGGGTCCAGGAAGGCAAACCAAGGGGTGCAAAGGGATTTTTAAAGCTCTGCCTTGCCCTGGAGTGTGGCTGACCCAGCAGGAGCTCCAGCATCTCATCACAGCATGCACAGGCAGCTCTTGTCCCCCTCCTCAAGCTGCCACTGGCTGTCCAGCCCAAAACCCCCTCACAGAGCCATGGAGGGAGGGTTTTGTCAATGAAAGCCAAGGGCTGTGATTTCCCTGTAGGAATTCAGCTGCAAAAGGGTCCCTGAGGTTTCTGTCTCCCTGACCAGGCAGAGCCCTGCGTTTACACCACCACCACGGGACACTGGTTGCTTTTCCAACGCCACCCAACAAATTAGTGCTGAAAGCTCGGGGATCTAAGGTGAAAACTGGCAAGGGTGAGGTTGGGGCTTAGCTGGCATGATCTTGTTGTACGCTGCACGCCATGAGTCACGCGGGACTCCCAGGGAAAGGGAATTACCTTGCAAATATCCCAGGTTTACCCGATTCATCACATCACTGGCTGTTAAATTTGCTACATCCTCTACAGAACATACAGGGAAAGGCACAGACATAAACAGAGAGAGAGAGAGAGGTCAGCAAGCCATGGTTTGGCAAATATCAGAGACGAGCTCCTGCGCTGCAGCCAAATCGTGAGCAAAAGAAAAAGGAAAGGGGCAGAAGGCAGAGCAACGTTTTGCATGGGTGTCCAGACACTGACAGCAACACAAGGTGACAACACACAGTCCCTGCACTGCTGGGTGCCCAAGGAGCTGCTGGTCCCCAGCTGTGCCCATGTCCCTGTCCTGTACCCCCTCACTGTCCCCTCTCCTGCCAGAGCTCCCCCAGTTTGCTTCAACCAAAACTTGCCAGCCTTGACCTGACCCCAAGCTGTGCCTCAAGCCTGACCAAGGCCAGACAGCCCTCCTGGAACTGCCACAGAAACTGCTGGGATTGGGAATGAAGGGAAAAAAGGAGAGGGGGGCACACCCCTGCAAGGCCTTGCCTGCAGTCCCTGTCCTTGCCCCGTCCCACCACACTCCAGCTCTGCTGCCCCCATCCCTGGGGATGCTGGCAGTGCCACAACCACCCTGGGCCCCCACTCCAAACCACTCCCAACCCCTCCTGCACTGCACTCCTGGACATTTGCTCCTCATCTTTCCCATGCCTAGAGCCAAGAGGGGAAAGGAGGAATCCCACCCCAAAATCAGCTCCCATCCCAGCTGGGGCTCACTGCCAGCCTGAGTGTGGGCAGGGGGTGGACAGACACTCCTGGAGGATGGAGCAGACAAGCAGCAGCACAGGATGGCTTCAAAGAAAGAAAGAAAATAAAAAAAACCCAAAGCAAACAAACAAAAGGAGCTGTGGGCTACAGACTTTGTCATAACCGAGGGCTGGGAGCTGTCCAGGGTGACACAGATGCCAGCACCGACGGGCAGGTCAAGCTTGACGAGAGATGTGGCTGCACAGAGGGACCCTGAGCGCCGTGGCTGTCACAGCCACACACCCGCGTCACACGCAATGAAGCAACTCAGCCCTGCAGCTACCGAGAGCTTTTCCACAGAGAGCTTATGACAGATTAAAGTCCATAACAAAAGGGGCTGCGCCAGCTGACGGGGTTGGGCCTCTCCCTGCCAAACTACGGGGGCTCTTGGGCACAAGGGCTGTGCTGACCTGGGGTCGGGCTGTCTTGAACCACCATCTCTGCATGGCCAGAAAGTGGGGCACAAACGGGGCTGTGCGGGGACACCGGGCCCTGCTGCAGGCACAGGGGCCACTCTGCCACTGCCAACGCCTGCCTGGAGCCATCCCAGAGCCCAGAGATGGGGGGGCTGCCTGCAGCTGGCCGGGGGTGCCAGGGGAGGGAGGGGGGCTGCGTGGGGGGACCCCAGCCTGGGGCTGCACAAGCACAAGCAAGCCGGGGATGAGGCGCAGCCCGGCTGGGACGGGCTCGGCGCTAAGCCGGGCATGGGGTTAGGCTGGCGTGGGGTTAGACTGGCTCAGGGGTCGGGTTAGGCCGGGCCGGGGTTACCTGAGGAGCCCGCGGGCGCTCCGGCGGCGGCACTTACCGTACCCGGTGGTGGGCAGGCCCAGGTGCTTCATGCGGTTCTTGACGAGCTCGGAGAGCTCCTGGCGCTCGGAGCGGCGGTACAGGCTGAGGCGCTGCTGGCTGATCCACTCGGCCGTCTTGCTGGAGTGCTTGTTGCCCTTCCTGCTGAGCCGCCGCGCCCACTGCATGCTCTTGCGCCGCAGCAGCGGGTGCTCCGACTGGTCGCTGGAGCACGAGTTGCGGTGGTGGCTCGTCTTGATGCCCCAGTGCTCCTTGACGTCCTTGGTGTCCTCGCAGTCCTCAACATTGATTGAGATCTGTGACTAGAAGCCCAGCAGGTCACGCGGGATGGGGGGTGGCCAAGGGGGCTTTGGCCTGTGCCTGGCACGGTGGGATCTCTCCCATGGGGAGAGATTTTTTTGGGGTTTTTTTTGGGTTCCTTCCTCTGACCCCAATGGGCTCTCCCAGCGCTTTCTCTCTGCACTGTAAGAACCGCCAGGCTGGCAGATTTCACAGAATCCCAGAGTGGTTTAGATTGGAAGGAGCCCACTCCTTGCCCACTCCTTGCCATGCTCCACCACACCAGGCTGCTCCAAGTCCTGTCCAACCTGGCCTTGAACTTTCCAGAATGGGCCAGCCACAGCTTCCCTTGGATAAGCTGAGGGGAGTCTTGTGGGCATCTCACACAGGATCACCTCTGGGATATCTGCCCCAGGTGCAGCCATGCCCTCATCTCCCTCTCTTCCCTCTTACAGCATCTGTGCTGCCACATATCTGACCCAGCAATCCCCACTGGTGAGCAGGAATTTATTAATAAAGCCTTTTAAAGCCTCTCAAGGAGCTGGGTTGCATTTAATTAAACGTCAACTTTCAGCTCCCCGTCACTGCCTCCTTACAAAGTTGAACGCTGAAGGTATTTAAAGGGATCCTGGCTGCCTCCCTTGCTCCTGATCCCAGTTAATTACATCAGGGCACTGAGGATCAGCCAGTATCTCCCGTCCATGGGGACAGGCAGGCTGTGCTGGCACTGGGGCCGGGAGCTGGCACAAAGCAGGGGGTGGCTCTCGTGGCCAGGGCCAGCCCAGGGCTCAGCCAGGGTGGGGACAGGGGGCACGGCCGGGCACGAGCGGCACTCACCTGCGCTCGGATGTCGTGGGGCTGCAGCAGGGGAGGAGAAGGGAAAACCACGAGTCAGTGCAGCAAAGGGCAGCCCTGCTGTGCCCACCCTGCTCCCCAAGGTGCCCAGGGGGTGGCAGAGCCAAGAACATCCAGCACTGCCTGGAGACCCAGCTGGGGAACCACAACAGCACCACCCAGTGCGGCCACTCGAACGAAATAAACACAAAAATTCCCCTTCCCCTGCTCTTCCCTCCCCACTCTGCTGCAGCCAGCTCTGAGGTGCTCCAGCCCCCTCCTGGATCCCAGCTTGCCTGGCACCACAGCCCCTTCCCAGCCCGTGCCCTACCTCGGAGGTGGCGAACATGTGCGACTCCGTCCGGTAGATGCCGATGGGGATCTCGGCACTGGAGGAGCAGAGCTTCTGGAAGAGGCGCCCGTACGTCCGGATCCACAGGTCATCCTCAGTGATCTTCATCTGAGCAACACAGGGCCAGCATGGACCGACACAGGGCCACATGGACCAACACAGGGCCAGCATGGACTGACACAGGGCCACATGGACCAATGCAGGGCCAGCATGGACCAATGCAGGGTCACATGGACCAATGCAGGGCCAGCATGGATCCCCACTGCACCTCAGGCTGCTCCTGAGCTCCACCCCAGCCCATCCATGACCATCCCAAAACTGATTTCCACAAGAAAATCAGAGGCAATTTCTGACCTCAGCCTTCAAAACAGAGAGTTTGGTCCTTGGCAGCTCTTGGGCTTTTGGCAACTATGAGGTTCCCCAAAAATGGAGGGGAACAATGACCTGGCAATGCTGCTCTGTCACTGTGATATTTTCTGAAAAAACCTTTCACCAGGATTTCTTCTCCTGGCAAGATGAGAAGCCTCAGCTTCTCCATGTTTTGCTACTTTAGAATGTGATTTGGAGAACTGTTTACCCAGCATGTGAATTGTTTTTAATTAATGGCCAATCACAGCCCAGCTGTGTCAGACTCTCTGAGGAGTCACGGGTTTTTATTATTCATTCTTTTCTAGCCTTCTGTCTGTATCTGTTCTCTATTCCTTAGTATAGTTTTAGAATAGAATAGAATAGAATAGAATAGAATAGAATAGAATAGAATAGAATAGAATAGAATAGAATAGAATAGAATAGAATGGATCATAATAAATCAGCCTTCTGAGAACTTGGAGTCAAATCCTCATCTCTCACCTCGTCCTGGGAACCCCATAACCCCACACAGCTCCCTCCTGGGGACCCCAGAACCCCACACAGCTCCCTCCTGGGGACCCCAGAACCCCACACAGCTCCCCCCCAGATCTGCAGAAGAGGGGAGCCCCCAAGCCCATGCACAGGTGACAGATGCCACCAGGTCAGACCCCCTTGGCTGATGGCTCCACCCCAAGGGACTCAGCACGTACCGCACAGAGGTACCCGGAGCCCGGCGTGGTGTCGAGGCCCAGCAGCAGCCGAGTGATGGTGATCATGTAATCCTTCACAAACGACTGCGGAGACATTTGGGCAGGAAAACCAGGGAAAAGGTTGGCTCAGCTGCTCCCTGGGGGATGCCCCAGCTGCAGAGCTGTGTCTCACCTGGTACAGCAGCGTGTCCAGCATGCTGATGCTGAAGACTCTCCCGGCAGCGAAGGGCAGCCGGAACATGAAGGCCAGGTTGGAGCCATTCTCTCGCTCTCTCTGCAAGAAAAAAGGGAAGTTTGAGCCTAGATTGCACAGAAAATTAGAGGGCTCCTGGCAATGGGAGGGCATAGGTGTAATGTTTATGGTGGGTGTGGCAGAAGGAAACCAGGGCAGCATCTTTGCACGGTAGAAAAAGAAAATATTTTTTCTCCATGGAAATGTGTGAGACATGATTGGGTTTTCTGGACATAGTCACTGTCAGTGTTGACTTCCCAGGCCCCTGTGCAAAGAACAATCTCCTCCTACCTTTTCTAGCTTGGAAAGGGCCAGAGAGTAACTGTCCTTTGCTCTGAACTGCATGAACCTCATGTTGGAGGGGTGGGTCAGCTCCGTGATAATGCTGAGGCTGGGGAAGAGCCTGCAATGGAAAGAGATCTGTTGTCCTGCAGCTGTCTCTGAGGATTTAAAGCCTGAGGAAGACCCTGTGCTCTGATGTCAGAAATAGCTGGTTACATTCTGCTTTCTGCAGCAAACCCAGCACCAACTGTGTCCCACTGTCCGTAGCCACCACCCCAGGCACTGGCACCCATCCTGGTAGTGTCCCCTCACCTGAACATGGTCTGGACGTTGACAATGGTCTTGGCATCTGCCATGTAGTCCTCCTCAGCACTCATGGTGCTCTCCTTGTCCACCACCACCAAGTTGTCAGCGTAGATGATGCCACACTGCAGCAAACTGTCCAGGCTGGGCAGATCCCAAAGAGAAGAGCGCAGGGTCAGCCCTTGGAAACGACACAGGGAAGCAGCACAGGGGTTCCACGGCGAGCCCAGGCTGCTCCCAACCTGCTCTTCACCTGCTCCCATCTCCCAGGGAGGGGTTGACAATGAGAGAAGCCCAAGGTGGGCTCAGCTCTACGCTACCAACCCTGGGGCTTCTCATGGGGTGACCGAAAAGTCTGGGCTGGGCTAAATGCAATAACTGAGGCACAACAGCCACCCATGGGAACACCTACTTGTCAATGGTGCCCTCCATGTAGTAAACCATGGGGAAACAGCAGATGGCCTCCAGAAAGTGGTGCTCAGGCCTGGGGGGAGAGCCACAGAGAGCGAGGTGGTTCAGCACGTCCACAGAGACAGACACAAAACCCCAGCGCCAGCCAGCCCGGGAAGCCCACAATGGCACCACTGCTCCCTCACACTCCCACCCCACAGCACGAACTGCCCAGGCAATGCAGGGAGGCTCTGTGGGAGGGAGAACACCCCTGGAGAAGTACTTGCTTGTTGTCCAGCAGCAGCACGATGGGGTTGAGCTCCTTGCGGGAGCGGTAGTAGGCGCGCAGCGGGACGATGAAGTTGTAGAGGCCGTTCCCCGCTGTCTCTGCAGAAACGATGATCAGCTTGTTCTTGAAGCCGTAGGCCTTGGCGTCCTCAAAGCTGTTGTGTTTGCAGCCCTGTGTGGGGAGGGACAGCCCAGCACTCAGTGGGCACGTCCTGGGGGGCTCAGCCCAGGCAGCCCCGCAGCCCCTGCTCACCTTGTCCAGCCTCAGGCAGCAGAACGGGGCTTTCTCGGGCAGCAGGTGGCACAGGGTCGGGGAGCTCCCGATGTAGGGCGAGTTTGGGGGGTAGCCCTTCACGTACCTGCAGCAGGGAGAAATCTGTGTGAGGACAGGGAGAGCTTGCCATTTATCCAGCACTGAGGTGCAGGGGAAAAACATTCAACAGCAACACGTTCTTCTCCTGGCGAGATGAGAAGCCTCAGCTTCTCCATGTTTTGCTCCTCTGGAATGTGATTTGGAGAACTGTTTACCCAGCACATGAATTGCTTCAACTCAAGGACCAATTCCAGTCCAGCTCTGTTGGGACTGGTCAGTCACAAGCTTTTAGTATTCATTCCTTTCTAGCTTTCTAATGTATCCTTTTTCTTTTCTTTAGTATAGTTTTAGTATATAATTTTCATATAATATAATACGATATGATACAATATTATATTATATCATATGGTATCATATGGTATCATATAATTATAGTATATTATAATATACTATTATATATATAATATGTACTATATATTATAATATAATATTATATATTATATATATAATATATAATATTATATAGTATTATATTCTATTATATTAGAATATAATACTATCTATTATAATATACTATTATAGTAGATAATATAATATAATATAATATAATATAATATAATATAATATAATATAATATAATATAATATAAATTTATATATATAGTTGATATAGAATAGAATAGATCATATATCAACCTTCTGAGAAGTCAGAGTCAATTCTCATTCTCTCACATCCCCCTGGTGACCCCAACACCGCCACAAGGATTGAGCACACCGCCACAATGAGCCAGAGGCGCCTGAATCCCACCAGGTCCCACTGGAACGAACCAGCCAAAGAGAGCACCAGACTCACTCGAGCACTGCTGACCCCTCCTCGTCCGACTGCGTCATCTCGTCCTCGGACTGGTCGCTGAGGAGGTCGCAGGGCAGCAGGGAGGAGGTGTCAGCCAGCTCCAGCACCGGG